ATTGTGGTGATAATCAATGAAATAGTACCTGATTTAGTGAATACAAACTTCACGTGTAAAATGGCTAAACAGGAAAGGGATGTCAAACATGATGTACATCAATGATGTCTAACATTAACCACTCATTTCATGAATGCTATGACCACTAGATTTCACTCATTCCTCATTTTGTTGTCATTTTCACATCAAGTTATGAGAAGTTATATATATTTAGTTCATTTAATTTGTAATTAATATATTTCATAATAATTAGTGCAAATATATTGCTTATTAATATGTACCTTAAATTAAACTATTTGTTAATTCATAAATCAAGATTCATTCTTGAATAACATCATAACTAATTTATATTTACTAGATTATTTTAGTTAAAGTGTTATCAAGAATATTCTGTAAGAATTAAGGCTTAAAGTTAAAAATGTTTCAACTTTAATGTTTAGACCAAGATAAGTGTTTAAACAAACAGGGTTTTTATGAAAATGAAAACATTTTAAATAACAACACCCATAAAAATTTAGATAAATCCTTATAGTTATCAACTGTATTTTAAGCCTGCACAAATTAATCAGAATTAGGATGTTTTTGTTCTTGATAACTGGCACATATCCATACTTGTCAATGTGAGCAGTCTTTATCTAATGATATGACTTATACTTTTAAAAATCCATATTTATAAATTAAAATTCAATTTATTTAATTTATGATTTAGTAAATTAATATCAAAATGTAGTTATTCTATTGTATTGTATAAAATATTGTATTGAATATTAAAACTTTTAGTTTTAAGGCACGGTCACCTAAAGTAAATATTAAATTATAAATAAGTAAATAAGTAAATTATTAAATTATTAAATTATACATATTAAATAAGTGGTTATACCATTCATCCATATTATTATTTAAACAATTGATAACTTTATTTATAATGATAATTTTGTAAAATCATGTCGACAATGCAAACATACGGATAATATTTATTTGTCTAAATATTATATAATAATTAGTTTTGTAAGAAATTTACAATAAAATTTAAATAAATTAAAACTTGTGCATAAACTGATTGAAATAACCTAACACAAATATTCAAATGCATATTATAAGAGCAATAGTTATTCTTTTATAGATAATAAGTCTCATACGGATAAAAATATTTATCATTTTCAGATTAAGTCAATTTTGAGACAATTTATATAACTATTGAAGTAACCATCGAATGTGACCTTCAATGCTATAAATATGAAATAAATCATACGATTAAAGCACTTAAAATAGCTATCTATAAGTTTAATAACTTTTTATAAAGTGTTAAAATGAGATAATTTTTACAATAAATAGACCGACGTTTTGCACAATTGTTTGCATTTATATGCACTTCACCGGTCATTATAAGGACGTGAATGGAAAGCAAAAGGCCAGTCGACTAATCCAGTGGTCAGTCACCCAAAGCACACCACAATTAAATGACTCAATAATTTGCATAATTAACACAATTCACTGCAATGAACAATAAGTTGAGCGCAGACTATGAGAGTTGATGTCATTTATTGAAGGCCTTTGAAAGCATTCATTCATTCAGTGATGCATTCATTGACTGAATACTTCATTCATAACTCAATTGTTGTCTTCAATTGAATGAAACATTGAATTCAAGTATCAATTGATTTGTATTCAGTTTTGCCATCAAATGAATGATTGCTTTCCAATGCATTTCATTGAGTTGTTTGTCATTTGAAGCAAAAATATTGTTAATTATGTAATGAATACTCAACTAATCCATTGAAGCGATTGTTTGCATTTTGGGATCAGTTTGTGGTGACAACTGTTGCCGTGATATGTCCGAAGACCGTAACTTTCGCTACTTTTACTACGAAAAGGTTGGCTTCAGAGGTGTGGAGGAGAAGAAGTCTCTGGACATACTTCTGGCCGAAAAGCCACCGGATTTGCTGTCGAAGTTGTCTTCATTCACACATCGCTTCCAAATGCCAGGAGTGTATAGAAAACACATCTGGAAACTGCTTCTGGATGTCATGTCTGTCACCCCTCCCACCGACGACCTCTTCGTGTCCACCGAACAGTCGCTTCACTGCAAAGACATCCGAAGAGCTCTGCATCTCATGCTATACATCGACGACAACACCACTCCATCCAAGCAATTGGTTCTCATGTTTTTCCTCGAGTTTTCCGAATTGGATATCAATATTGATAAACAGGTCTTTTGCCCATCACTTGAAGTGATCCTCATTTTTCACTCATTTATGGATCGCATTTGTAAAACAGTTTCAAAGCAATGAAGTCAAGGATCTAATGGTTATCAGCGATGTCTTGGTTAAGGAATTCATTGACGACAAGAATAAAGACGAGAATTGTATTGAAGAGACCTATTGGTTGTTCCGGAATCTGGTCTCAGGGGTCAGATGCAACTTCTTTGCTCTCATCGATACTGTAAGTATTTTTCAGCATTTGTCAGACAATTGTTTGACTCATATTTTGTTTCACTTATAAAGTACGAGAAGTTCATCCGGAATCTGGTCTCAGGGGTCAGATCCAACTTCTTTGCTCTCATCGATACTGTAAGTATTTTTCACCATTTGTGAGACAATTGTTTGACTCATATTTTGTTTCACTTATAAAGTACGAGAAGTTCATCAATGGCTTGGCTCAGGAGGATAAGAGTCTTCACAACCATTTAGTGAAAACTGGTGTCATTAAAGTACAACCGACTACTACTGCCAATTCTGGTGCGAAACCACATTACAAGAAGTACAACATTTCCAACTATAGACCAATCATCACATGGTTTGTCAGATTCTATGCCGTACATAATTTGTTGCCTTAAATGATAAGCCATTGATTATTTAAATTATATATCATCTAAATCAATTAGCAATTCAATTACTGAATAAAAATATTTAAAAATATAATGTAATTTGAATGCAAGTATATTAATCTAATTGAACACAAACTCATCATTAATGAGTGAAAACTAGAAAATGTCAATTGAATTGAAAAATGAGCACAAATTCTTAAAACAAATGCTCTCTTAAACTTGGATCTAGGTAATTGAATTTACAAATTGACCAAGTTTTAGGTGTTACTAAATTGAATATGAATTGAACAGAAAATGTAATTACATGTAACTAGAAACTAGTGAACAAATGTTTGGCAAATGTGTATAAATAAGTGGTTAATAATAATGATCATATGATTGTGGTCTAAATTGGTATTTAGCGGCAATTGGTATGGATGGAAATGGTTGATAGAAAGTGGTAGTGAGGGGTGCCTTTCATTAGGTATCAACTGAATAGCAAAGGGTTGTAAGGATTGGCGCCATCTTATTATGCATTGCCGTTAAGCACTGTATGATTTGATACGATGCGAGCACTGGTAGGCAATGGGATGGCAATAGCTGTGAACACCCATTACAGCCAATGACGGCATTTATGGCAAACGCAATACAAATGGCATTCAATATAACATTACATAACATTACTGTCAATGTATTGAACGCCCAATACTTTGCACTTTAATTACAATCATATAATCATTATGACTATTACTATCACGAAAATGTCTTTAGTATACAATCATTGCATTCACAATAACACAGACATTGAACACAACTATCATATTAGGTATCAATGAGACAATCGCTGACACACTGACTGACAAACAGCTGATGATTAGCTCTTGAGATTAGCTTCAAAAATGAGACACTATTTGTCAAACAATGGCACCAATGGACTCATTGGACAATCACTTGCTTCGTGTGACACTTGTATGACATTTGTTTGGATCACTTGAGACACAGACTAATGATAGCAAGAAATAAACGCATAATTACTTGACGTCGGATGCGATTCATCTCCGGACCGGTCGTCAGACATGTCTGCAGTGAGGGATTGGCTGCTCTTCGGGCACCGATTATCTCTTCAAATGGTCACAAGTGTTAGTGGTTGAGAGGATCGTCTTAATGGCGGAACAGCTATGGATTGAACTCAAGGTCATAAATGTGGGACCAATGAAGACATCGTTTGAATGGATTGAGTGATGAGTCCGACTCCACAGCCGTCTAACAGATGCTGATCACCACTGCGTCCCTGCACTCGCTGTCGATGCGATATCGTTGGATCAGTCTTCAGGTGATCACCAATCGGACCAATGGTTTGTCACTTCACTGACAGACTGCGACTTCTCTGGGGTTCACGTCTTGACAACTGACGCACTGTTTGTCACAAATAGCCACTAATGGCGGATCAGCACCGATGCTCTGGTGGGACACTCAGACACAGCCAGCAGTGGTCGATGTCTACAGACAACACATCCCTGTCCTCTCCCTCTACAGCCACAGACAGTCAACTGAACTCACAGTCAGATACTCTACTCATAGACCAGTCAGTACTCACTCGACAGACTCACTGCCACTCACTCGCAGCACAACACAGCATACGCTCACTTCACTCCCCCAGTGTGTGTCGGACACCACTGCGCATGACGAACACCATCACCAATGCATTGCACATACATTACGGCAGACACTCACTGGTCAACAGTCCTCACGAGACACCCGGTGGCCAACACATCACACCTCCCGCTCACCACAATATACACTCATTTATCACCATAACTATCATCCAAATACCACGAATTTGACACACAATTAGCTCTAAACAAGAGTTCCCAGACATTCAATAATGAAAGCAATAAATAATTGTTTTAATCAAAAACTCTTAGTTTTATTAAATAACCAAAACTCAAATCCCATTCAAAGTCTACTCATTCTCTTCGCTTCTGATCCTCGCGTTAGGATTTGTGAGTCTAATCGCCAACTGTTTGGCTCTTTCGACGATATCTTTGCGCTTCTTCGAAGAAACGGAGTGCGCGATCTCTGCACAGTAGCGCCTGTTCATCATCATCAACACCTCCAGTTCCTGTCGTACAAACACATCCAGTTATTAGTCATCGCCGGTAACGCCTGTCACGAGACATACCTTCACGTTGTGGACCAGGACTTTGCGGAACCCATTGGGCAGCATATGACGGGTCAGTTTGGATGAGCCGTAACCGATGTTTGGCATCAAAATCTGACCCTTGAATCGACGTCTCACACGATTGTCAATACCCTTGGGTTTGCGCCAATTGGGCTGAGGAGGAAGACAATACACTTAAGACATCACACAATCATATGAACCACTCTTTGCGTGTCAATACCTTCAGCTTCTTATAGCGGTCCGATTGGTGTCTCTTAAAGCGTTTGGTCCGCTTTTTGATGATATCCGGCTTATATAACGGCTGAACAACCATTTTCCCTGATAATTGATGCCAATTATGGAGCAATTAGATGGTAATTGTGGTGATAATCAATGAAATAGTACCTGATTTAGTGAATACAAACTTCACGTGTAAAATGGCTAAACAGGAAAGGGATGTCAAACATGATGTACATCAATGATGTCTAACATTAACCACTCATTGAGTGAATGCTATGACCACTAGATTTCACTCATTCCTCATTTTGTTGTCATTTTCACATCAAGTTATCAGAAGTTATATATATTTTGTTCATTTAATTAAATTTAGTAATTAGTATATTTCATAATAATTAGTGCAAATATATTGCTTATTAATATGTACCTTAAATAAAACTATTTGTTAATAGATAAATCAAGATTAATTCTTGAATAACATCATAACTATATTTACTAGATTATTTTAGTTAAAGTGTTATCAAGAATATTCTGTAAGAATTAAGGCTTAAAGTTAAAAATGTTTCAACTTTAATGTTTAGACCAAGATAAGTGTTTAAACAAACAGGGTTTTCATGAAAATGAAAACATTTTAAATAACAACACCCATAAAAATTTAGATAAATCCTTATAGTTATCAACTGTATTTTAAGCCTGCACAAATTAATCAGAATTAGGATGTTTTTGTTCTTGATAACTGGCACATATCCATACTTGTCAATGTGAGCAAAGTCTTTATCTAATGATATGGCTTATACTTTTAAAAATCCATATTTATAAATTAAAATTCAATTTATTTAATTTAAGATTTAGTAAATTAATATCAAACTGTAGTTATTCTATTGTATTGTATAAAATATTGTATTGAATATTAAAACTTTTAATTTTAAGGCACGGTCACCTAAAGTAAATATTAAATTATAAATAAGTAAATTATTATATTATACATATTAAATAAGTGGTTATACCATTCATCCATATTATTGTTTAAACAATTGATAACTTTATTTATAAAGATAATTTTGTAAAATTATGTCGACAATGCAAACATACGGATAATATTTATTTGTCTAAATATTATATAATAATTGGTTTTGTAAGAAATTTACAATAAAATTTAAATAAATTAAAACTTGTGCATAAACTGATTCAAATAACCTAACACAAATATTAAAATGCATATTATGTTAGTTATTCTTTTATAGATAATAAGTCTCATACGGATAAAAATATTTATCATTTTCAGATTAAGTCAATTTTGAGACAATTTATATAACTATTGAAGTAACCATCGAATGTGACCTTCAATGCTATAAATATGAAATAAATCATACGATTAAAGCACTTAAAATAGTTATCTATAAGTTTAATAACTTTTTATAAAGTGTTAAAATGAGATAATTTTTACAATAAATAGACCGACGTTTTGAACAATTGTTTGCATTTATATGCACTTCACCCGTCATTATAAGGACGTGAATGGAAAGCAAAAGGCCAGTCGACTAATCCAGTGGTCAGTCACCCAATGCACAACACAATTAAATGACTCAATAATTTGCATAATTAACACAATTCACTGCAATTCACAATAAGTTGAGCGCAGACGAAGAGAGTTGATGTCATTTATTGAAGGCCTTTGAAAGCATTCATTCATTCATTGATGCATTCATTGACTGAATACTCAATTCATAACTCAATTGTTGTCTTCAATTGAATGAAACATTGAATTCAAGTATCAATTGATTTGTATTCAGTTTTGCCATCAAATGAATGATTGCTTTCCAATGCATTTCATTGAGTTGTTTGTCATTTGAAGCAAAAATATTGTTAATTATGTAATGAATACTCAACTAATCCATTGAAGCGATTGTTTGCATTTTGGGATCAGTTTGTGGTGACAACTGTTGCCGTGATATGTCCGAAGACCGTAACTTTCGCTACTTTTACTACGA